GCTTTCCTTCGCCTCCCTTTCCTTTCCTTTCCTGTCACCACTCAACAAGCATAATCATCTCCAGTTTCGTCACAACCATACTCCGTAACTCCACATCATCCTCAACCCAATTCGCAATTGAGTTCTGACAAATGCCTCTTCCCCTCCTATTCTATCCTATTCTACTTTATCCCACAAGCCTCCCTCATTTCCCTTCTTCAACGTGTTTCAACCTTACAGCACTTTCCAAGCACCCGAACCAACTAGTGAGTTCATCCTTTGACCATCGTTCGTACACGTGTTTCCACCCCATTCCCAATCGCCTCTTACTAGCCATCGACCTACATCTACCTAACCCTCCTTCTCTCGATATCCGAAAGCCCAATGATGCACATAAGAGTCCTTCGTAAAAACAACTGGACTTTCGCAATTGGCATCTCTCTAATGTCATGTCCCATCTCCAAATCATCATGACGTACCCCACTCTTCTACAGGAACTTGATAACTTCTGGTGTACAACACAGTACTTTCCTACCGTGCTTGAGTAGCATTGCTTCTCTTCATTGGTGATAAATGCGCGCTTCTTTGCTCCGGGGTGGAGAATGCTGTACTATTCGTCTCGTGCATGCAGTTTGAATATATCACGAATCTTTTATCTACACACCCCCTTTCTGGCGCGCTCTTCTCATTAACTTTGTTCGAGGATGTAGAGAACTTGGAGCGATTTGGATAAGCTTGACTATAGATAGATGTACTCGAGACCAGGTAGGTACGAATCATGAGTTTGAGGAAGAAGGTTCTCATGAATTGATCATCCGTCCCTTTGAATCTACCATACAAGGTTTAAGTCCCCATCCCCCCCCCCCTTCTTCACCAATGAAAAGGTCATCTGCACCTCCAATTATCTCTCTCCAATTCATGAATCAAGAATCTATTCTTGCTAAGATCTTAAATAAACGCAGAGACCATCATCCCTATCATCACATGCAAAGATTGCGATCCCATCTTGTCTCACCACCCCACCATCCCATTCTATCGCCCCGATCATATGATACAAAGTCATCGCCTCATCACCATGATCACCTCACCCATTCTACATAGCACATCTCCAACTAACTTTCCTCGTCTTCCCAATCCCCCAATCTCTCCAATCTCTCCATTCTCTCCTCCCTCTTCAATTCGTATTCCCGTCCTCCGATCCCGTATCCCCCAACCCCTCATTCCCATCCCCGAACCCATCCGAAAAGCACTGAAACATGCACCTCTCAAAGCATCTAAATGAAACACCCAAACACCAAACACGACCCAAACCATTACAAAAGCATCTCCATGCATACGAAGGTTGGATAGATAAGTAATGTAAAACCCACCAAAAAGCGGCCATAGTTTCCCTCATATACAGGGGTTTTATTCAATAAAAACATTATGCTCTTTAAAAATTAATATAATGAAATCTAGTTGGCAAAAATATTATAAAGAAATATTTGAGTATGTAAAGTTATTAATATTATTATTAAAATTTAATAAATATACTATTCACAGTAATTATTACCTTATAATACTCTTTTATAGATCTAATTAATCCTTTTAGATAATCTTCCAATACAGCCTTCTAAGCCTCTTTTACTACTTTCCTAAATGTATTATAGCTTATTTTGTTAATATAATAATAATTCTAAATTCAATCTTTCATCTAATTCTATAATTCTTAATAGAATTGAGATCTAGTAAATAAGAGAGTTAATACATTTTTTCAATTTATTTTTCAAGAAGATCTTAAATAATAGTTTTTACAATATACCCTAATACTTTATCCTATATAAATCTATATTCTAAATTTATCCTCATTCAACTATAAATAATAAGTATTATATATATTTGATAGAATTAAATATTAATAGAACCCTAATCCTTTTCCTAAAATATTCCTAATCCCTTATCTGATTCCCCTAAAAAAACACCACTAAAACATCTATTTAACTTTTTTCATTCCTTTTCTAATATATATATATATAGAATCAAAAGCTTTATTTTTTCGATATATAATATGAATCTTTTTATATACTCCTACAAAAACCCAACTTTCATTAGACTATAAAATAATATCCTATTCTTCGTTAATTCAATCGAGGTGATTTAATACAAATTAAAATGGAAATTATCAATTCTTTTCTAAAATAAAAGATTTTCGAAGAATAATATATCATTGATAATCTTCTCTATATAGAACACATCTAATAGCAAATTCATTAATACTCTCCCAAGATAATACTATAGCAACTCTCTAATATAATATATACCTATTTGTCTTTGATCTGTTTATAAATCGAATAATTTTATTAATCTAAAAGATTTTTAAAAGAGGGGATCTCCTAAAGTATTTTTAGAGTGTTATATATGTTTTAATAGTATAATTTATTTATTTACTTATTAAATTTATATTCTATTTAAAGTAGAAAGCTCGAATATTATTATAAAACATTTTAAAGTAATATAAAATATATACTTTTACTCTTTAATCTTAAATTATTTCTAAATAACGAAGTGTTTGAAATAATAATAAGATAAAGAATAATAATATAGATTTATTATTTAAGAAGATTAATAATAAACTAAATAACAGTAGATTAACTTTTTTCATTTTAATAAATTCGAATATTATATTTTTTCAAAGTAAAAGTTTTAAGATATTAATAAAATAAAGATTTCTTACACAATTCCAAAAAGTGTTTTATAGAATTATTTAAAAATAGGATTTTTAAAACAGTATTATAATGAGTTAATATAACTAATAAAACCCTTATATTTCGCTATTTTGCTTATATATGAAGTTATCTAGCGTTTTATATTATTTATCCATCCAACCTTTATACATTACCCATTCACCCAGTTGCACATCCCACTTCCTCCATCCATTCTTAGTTCGCCCGCTGCAACCTGCAACCTGCACAGAAGCATAAACACGACATCTCTTCCTATGCACGTCCAGTAGATCCAGTATACATGGCATGCATATATCAGCTTTGCATAGGGACTAGGGATCTCTCTACTCGCTGTGAGATTGAATCGCCATCCAACTCCTTCCCGTAGCCTTCTACGATTGCATTATCTACGATCTATCTATCTATCTGAACTCAATTCCCTCCTATGCAATTAGAATCCATCGATCGATGTTGAAATTCCATCTTCACATCCTCAACCATCTCATCCCATGTCCTCCCAATTTCGTAACTTACCTCGTAAACTCGTAATCATATCATAGCATAGCATATTATACCGCACTATACCATACCAAGCTGAACATCCATTCCCCATCTAAACCCAACCCAAACCAACCCCCCAAAAAGATCACACGTACCCCGAAACACCCCTCCATGAGTATACGGTCTCTACTATCATCTCCAAACCATAACATACATAGATATCATTAGATATACCATCTCCCTCCAAACACTTAACTACCCATCCATCCATCCATCCATCCATCTAAACATCTAAATCTCTATTCAAAAAAACAAACAAATCTCAAAAAACTATAAACTCTCGAAATTTCAAAACCCTCATCATCCCCGCCGTAAACGCCCACCAAACCAACCCCAAGCTGACAGCCAGCCCAGCCACGCTCGCCACGCTTATCGATAAGAACAAATAGAGGGGTAATTTTCTAATCGCATAGAGGGGTAATTCTCTTAATTCCCCCGAATCGAAAATGCAACTTGATAAGAGAATTGGACGGGGATGGCTTGTCTTTGTTGAGGCTGGTCTACATGGGTGGATTGGTCAATGGATGGATAGTCTTCATGGATAGGTAGATAGATGAGAACAGGGCGTAGAAAAGTTGGAAGGAATGGGAATTGTAATGGAATCTGGAATTGGAATTGGAACTGGAAAAGTGGATGGGGAGTTTATATTTTTCTTTTTTTTCTTCTTTTCTTTTCTCGCTTTTTTTATTAAGCTAATGGATGGGGTTTTATCGATTTTGGAAAATGCATATGGTTAAGTTTGGAAAATGATGAGAGAAGAGGAGAGCAGAGCAGAGAAGAGAGAGAGCGGTCAAGATGTTAGTTAGTTGGTTAGTTAGTTAGTTGGTTAGTTGATTACCTAGCAGGTAGGTAGTTGATGGATTTTCTTCTATTTCTTTCTTGTCACTTGATGAAGAGAAAGAAGAGAATGGAATCATTGATTGATTGTATTTTCATTTCTTTATTGATTTGTCTAGCTAGCATTTGATTGTAAAGACGCAGCTCGCGCGCGCGCTGTTTAAAAATGTCTCTACATTTTGACTCTTGAGAGCGGGTTGTGTAGATACATACACCGGTAGTGTGATGTGATAGTAAATTTATCATCTTCATATTACTTACCTAGATAGATATTACAATGTTTTGTATCCGCAAAATGAGAAGAGAAGTATTTATGAGCGAGTTTGCTTAGTTAGGTATGAATTTATAGGTTATTGCAATGAAATGAACTGAGACTAATTAGATCTTTCAGCGTGAAATTTATATGTTTGTCGTCAATCTAGGTAGGTAGGTGTATATACGTTTATATCATTAGAAGTCTAAATGCACATCCCAATTTCCTATTCCCAGTATATATATATATATATATCAATTTCTAAGTAGAAAGAATTCTGACTACCAAGATTGCTTCTTATGCTCGTTCGTAGATCCATATACCTACCTTTTCAGTTTGAGGTGAGAACTCAATACCAAACAAAGTCTATGAAAGTTCAGAAACTATTGTTGGAAGGGGATGCAATAAGAGAGAATATGCATATTATCCCAAGCTGATATCATAGCATACCTATTCTGGAAATTCTGTTTATATTCATATGGATATCATAATCAATTAGTCAAATCAAGTCAAATCAAGTCACCAAAAAGTCCATCAAATTGCAAAATATAAGGAAAATATCATCTAATTCAAAACACTAACCTCTGAGAGAAAAAATTGCAGTCTACTACAACAAAAGAAAGATGGAAGAAATTACCATTGTACTCGATCTCCGTCCCTCATCCTCTCTAGCCTCCTAATCTCCTATCTCTTCGTCTTCTCATTCTCCTTGCATCCCCCACACAAATCGTTCTTGCGAACGATATCCTGATGGTAGTAAGGACAAGTGGTGGGTTGGGTGTGAGAGCGGCGAGCGAGGTTGCATCTGTCGACCCAGAAACTGGGGTGGCCGCAGCTGGAGACGGTTTTGATGGATTTGCACATTTTTGGTTGGGTTGTTTGTTTGTGTGTGTGTGTGTTTTAGGGAATGAAGAGGAAGAATGAATAGGGTTATTGAGAGGATGTATATACCTTCGAGAGAGGTGTTGTTGAAGAGTTGTTCTGAGATTGTTAAGATTTTGTGGGAGGGGAGTTGTTCATTCTTCCACTTAAAAGAACATGTATCCTGTCTCCCTTGTATAATATGTCTGGATTTATGGAATAATATGAGTGGCTATTCAAGATACATTCTAGAAAGTGATCTGAATTTAGATCGAAAGTCTTATAGAAGTGTAGTGGATGTAGCGACAGAACTATCGGAAACCGATAGATTCAGTTACGCTTCCCCCTTGTTCAAATTTGGGTTCAGTGAAGCTCAGGAAACTTCTAGGATGGAAGAATAGCCATTGATAATGTTTCGTTCGGAGAGGTCAAGATGATCGTATCTGTAGACCTCTCTCCCCTTCTGATAGAGAGGGAGTACAGAAATATCAAGCATCGCATTTTGCCAGACTCTCAAGACCACACTCTGAGAAGAAGTTCATTTTTACAAAGCACAATGCCATTCAGGTTGACAAGAATATGAAAGAAAGAATAAAGCATGTCTATCCCTCCCATACAGAAGCACAGAACAAAGACCGTTCAGTCTCATCCATTGTTACCCGTCATTTTTCTTTGTCTTCTTCTCTCTCCCATCTCAAAAAAAGGATACCACTTCTCATTTCGAACACCCTTGTCTATCTCGATTTCCAGTAATACAATCATCTGATGTATTATACTCCCAGCATTGCTCAGCTAGAGCTAGTTTAACTCTTCCAGGTATTTCACGTATGATCTCTCGATATTACTCATGGTAGCCTACTAGGCTACAGTACATCTGAGACGCGGGGCGATTATGAGTATTCGGTGACAGCATCTTTCCACTTGCGATGTATATACAGATAGCCATACTCTCTGGATCCAAATTAGGTGTACATTTAGCAACCGTACGGGTTCATGACGATCAAATGGAACTAGTATTGCCTGTTGCGCTTGGCAACAACGTAGAAGATAGACTTCTACCTGCGTAATCTTTAGGTGGAAATCTTGAGATGCCTTTGTTTTGATGCCTGCCAAGTATTGCCTAACACTCATCAAGTGAGCAGGGTCGCCTCGTGAGAGCCTTGTCTCAACATACTCGAACCTCGAGAGGTGTAGGGGGAAATAAAATAAGACTTTCCCTCTTTCTATACATGGAGGTATATAGAAAGGGCACATCTACGCTTATTAATGAGTATTATGATGACCACATTTCCACTCCAGATCCTTCACGTCCTTGTATATATGTACATCGTTATGTAAAATCATATATAACCAATCGCTGCTGTGTACACTCATTCCTGATCCCATTCCTATTGGCTTCTCCCGCAGCCAGCCCGTTCCCATCATACGCATTGTTGAGTAATTGCCTGGAACTCACTTCCTCTTCGTCACCCTCGCACTCACAGCCTGAATCTTCCTCGCTCGATTTCAATACTATGACCATTTCCTCATCAAAACCAACCCAAATTTTCTTTTCCAGATCCTCTCTCATTTTCTTCTTCTCGGTATCATTCAATGTTCTCCCTTCTCCTTCTCGACCTCCATCGCCATTTGCCCTTTCTTTCCCCTCGCCAACCCTCACACTCCTTTCTACCCTTGACCCCTCCCCCTTCCTAAACATACCCGGTTCCAATTCCCAAACCCTTAATTCTCCTCCCCTTCCGCTAACACTCACTGCCTTACCCCTACTGGTAATACTTGCGAAACTAATCAAGCTTGTATGTCCAAATAGTTTTTGGGGAGAGGAAAGAGTAAGCGAGGTATGTGTACTAGTGCAGAGATAGAGAGAAAGTGTGTTATCTGGATGTGTAGCCAGAATATAGGGGTGTGCGTAGGAGAGAGATGTTGGACGTGGGAGAGAAGCGCGTGGGGCAGAGGAAGTTAGAGGTTGAAACCCAGAGGGGAAGGAGGAGATTAGGCGGGAGTTTGTTAGGGTTGGGAGCTCGAGTGAGGAGAGAGTGAAGTGAAGTTCCTGAATTGAGATGGTGTATCCGCTTAGGTAGGTTGGGAGGGTGTAAACTATTGAGGCGATGATAGTGGATGGGGTGAGACGGATGGATAAGGATAGTGGTGGCCATGAAGAATGTGATTTGAGAGATGTCAAGAGATGTGGACGGATTGGTTTTTCCACATTCTCCTGTATACTGGTGCTCTTGTCCTTATCTTCAGACTCTTGCATCGGTCCGACAGGGCTAAGCGTATAGAACGAGAGGAGTTGCCTTTCCGTGATGCTCAATATGTATGGATGTGCGTAAGCTATAGCGCTTAACATCCCGTTACTGCTCGGTGGATGCCTGTAATTTTCCACAAACACCTTATTTTCCACATCGAGTACCCAAGTTCCCCAACCTCCGTTTTCAAAGCCTATCACAATCCCTAATCTCCCTTTCTCCCCATCTTGCTCATCGACGGCTAAACAAGTAGGTATTCCCTCGTCCAATCCACACGCCGTAATCAACTCCCTTTCCTTGAGACCCCAAGCCTTCAAACCCTCCGTCTCACCAACCGTAATTACCACTCCTCCTGCTAACCTTACCAATATAGTCGATACATTTCCTCTCTCTGAAATTTCGATCTCTTTGACCTCACATGCACCCCTCGCCCAATTATGCCTTAATTTATACTGCCTCTTCCAATTGGTCTCTCTCCCATCACCTCTACTTCTCAACCCTTCCTCGTCCAACCATCTACTCCTTCTCGAACTAAACCGAAACCTTTCTTCATTCTCAGATTTATTCCTACTCCCTTCTTCTCCCAGTTCTCCCGCACTTCTTTCTTTGTTCGATTTCTCTCTGCTCTTAATCCCCGGGATGCGCAATGCGCGTGGTAACACAAACCGAGAATAATATAATGATTTCCATAGTTGAGAATCGTGAGTAAGAGTATAGAAGTGTTGAGAAACAGAGTGGCAGGATAGGAGAGTCTCAATTGGTAGATGATGAAGGATACGGATGAGAAGTTCGGAGGAAAGATGAGAAATGTGATCGCGTTTATTTCGTGGGAGGCAATGTTTCTTCGTTATTGGTAGATCATTTTGAGACGTACTTGATCTTCGGCGTTTGGGCATGGTATACTATGAGACTTTCCAGAAGGGAAACCGTACGGAAAGATCCAATACACTTCTCTACTTTATTAGTACTTTGTCAGTACCTACTATGTATCTCAAGATTTGCCCTCGCGCTTCGCCTTATCAATTTTGATATACAGGGATTAATGCAAAGGAACGCGGAAGCTAACTTATCGCCGACCCACCACTAAAATTCACGTGCGTGTCCAAATCTGGGGCCGAGGCTGAGGATCGAAATTAAGCTCCAACCCCCCTTTGCGACGGCATATCCAAATCCAACCTTCACTCACTACCAACAAGCGCGTTTCATCTTCACTCTCTCCACAAAATCTCTTCAGTCACAACGATCATCTTATCTCATGTATAGATCTCAATCATGGACTCCCTAAAAAGTGTGCGGGAGAAGGTCCCTAACGCGCTACACCTCTATTCTGACTTCATCCTCAAAAATCAATCTTCCGTTACCCAAATCGAATCCGCTTTGCGCTCTCTGACGTATATAATACCCGGCCGATTTCGTGATGCCGAACTTGCATCCGAATCTCTACATTCTTCTATTCAGCTACTCTCACTTTACCATGATACCCTTCTCTCTCGCGCCCTATCCAAACTCCCCGGTATGCCCAGACAAAATGCGCATAATCGATATACCAAATATTGGGTCAAGGGAAACCGGATGTATAGAAGAATTGCCATGTTACTGAGTATGATACAATACACCGAGTTATTATGGGAGATGATGGCCAAGAGGAAAGGAGAGAAGATCAGATGGAGAGTGATAGTATTTCTTGAATTTATCAAGGCAGTGTGTAAACTGCTACTCTTAAGAATCACCAAGGGACGACCACTTGTCACACCACCTCTTCCCGAACGTGATATCATACCCGAGGAATCACTCACGGAAACCGAGGAAATACCCCCTTGGCTCGATACCGATGACACGGCAGCCATGCGAGAAGAAGAGAAGCTCCGCAAGAATCGCGAGGGAAAAGAATACAAATTAAAGAGGACAGGCTTAACACTTCCAAATCTCCCAAATCCAAGCGATATCACAAATTATCTGCTTTCCAAAGTTCTCGTTGCCGACGATATCAAAGCGCCAATCTCGCTTCTCAACCCCCTTACTCTCCCTTCTCAATATGCAGAATACATGCACATTCTTCAACCCGTCATTTATGCCATCGCTCTCTCCCATTACCGTAAGAATCCTAAGTCCTGGAAACCTTGGGCTATAGGCCTCAGCATTGAATATGCTGCACGCCAGCTCCGCAGCGAGAATTACAGAACTACTCCTCTTGAGAAAGAACAGTGGAATAAGAGAGGCTGGGCAATGGGATGGTGGACCTTACGAGGTGCTTTCTATGAAAATGTCACGAAGGGGTTCTTACACAGAACAAGTAACCGTTTGCCAAGTTTTATCGGGGGTGTGGTTGAGGACTATTTGTGGTTGTGGGATGAGTATTACTTTAGTACAAGTCAGGATTAAGGCTGTGAGCTAGAATGTAAGAGAGATCCGGGATTTTGCTCGGATTATAGAGGAGACGGATCGGGGAGACGGAAAATTTAATCATCAATATATCAAACTTCTACGTTGTTTTAACACTAGGAGCTTGGAGGCGTCGGGTCTAATCTGGAGACAAACGAGATTGGAACGGAATGAATGAATACCTACACCTATTATGGAAGACGAAGCGCAGAGAAGAAGACTCTGATATTTGAGAAGGGAGTTTGGGAAATAAATACTAGTATACCGATAGATATTTTTGTAATTACGATAATGAGTTTTTGTTCATCCACGGAGTTTTGACTTGGAATTGTAGTGTGAGCTTGAAAAATATCCGGTTCATGAATGATGGCAAGGGTATTAACCCCAGTCCTTACAATGTTAACAGTGTTAATATACTCGAGTATGAGTAACGGCAGAGCTGGGAAAGAGCATAGAGAGGGGGGGAGGAGATCAATCTTCACCATGCCGGGTAGATGGAGGTCACATATTAGCATCACCAACTCGTAGAATGGAATCAGAGCATACTTACTAATCGTCTTCGAAAGTATAGGTATCACGCTCTACAAGTGTTGGACACTGTAACTTTATCATGGGGGGCTTGGCGGGTATCCTAAGGGGGGTTATACCTTTTTTTCTGTTACTAAGATTCTTCATTCAGCTAAACATACATAGACACATCGCGTGGTCGGCGTAGCATCAGTTATAGATAGATGAATTGATTGAGAATTTGTTATTACTACTAAATAAGCAACGCAATCTTCTACGCTGTCGTTGTGCAGTGCCTTCTCACTAAGATTGTCGATTCGTAACTCCCTTCCCTGACATACTCAATCAGGACAGAGCAGGAGATACACATACATATACGTATACATATATATAGCCAACCTCAGAATACCGAGGGCACTACTCAAACTCAAGACGACGAAATTCTAATCGTACACCACTCGCCCAATCCCAATCCCAACCCCTCCACTCCCTTTCAATCCATCTCTCCCCAACCCAACAAATCAACAGCCAGACTATAATCAAACCAACCCAAACCAAATCCCCACAGCGCCACTACGCTACACCACCACCAAATTCCCATCTAGCATGCCATCCCAAACCATCATTCACTCCTCACTCCTCATCCACCCACCCCCCATCCCTGCATGAAGTCCACGCCCCGAAAGAAAAAAACACCAGTAACCAGTATCGCAAGCCCTCCAAAGTACAAATCCAATCGTCCTCATCCTCATACTACTCTCGCAACCAAACAATCCAACACCGCAAGCCACAATTCCAGACTCCAGCAACCTCTCCACAAGGGGAATGAATATCCTCCATCCTCCATCTATCCAAAGCTCATCAAATACCAAATACCAAATACCAAATACCAAATACCAAATACCCATCACCGCATCACCACATCACCACATCACCACAACCCCAATCTCCTCCGTGATTTCCTCCCACTCAATCAAGCATGATCAATACAAAGCATCTACTCCTACTTCCCCCTCACCCGCGAGCAAACTATTGCTACCCATTCAAATTACACTCAAAAGATGTTTTCCAAAATCCCAAATCCCAAATCCCAAATCCAAATTGCACTGTATCAAACGTATTGGCAACGCTTGGCTGTCGCCGAACATGATTCATCTCCGCATCTACTGTTAATGAAAGAAAAGGAGACTCAGGAAGTAGCAGAGCAAGAGAGCAGACAAGCGAGCAAGCAAGAAAGCCAGCCAGCCAACCAACATCCCTCCCAGAAAATCATATCACTAGTAACAAATACAACGCTGGTCTTTGCCATCTCCTTTGCTAAATGAGGTTTGATCATAGTCAAAGCCTGGTTCTCCGAGGAAATGGATGTAGAATGACATGTCGAAGTCATAGTCAGGTCACTAGATATATATGGAGTGCCTTGAATGAATTACATTATGCTAGCCATGTAGAGGGTATACTACAAATCATTCAAGTCCAGGCTTAAGGCTAGGACCCTCAAAACATTGATAAACCACTATATTCAAGACCTTCAAGCTGGCATATCACCGAGATCCTGTTAACAGACCTTTTGCAGGACTTTGATTCCCGATCCATTAAACTAAGAATGTTTGGCGTGATGACACTTTCACTATTGCTTGCCAAATTTGAAGAGAACAAAATATTGAACAATTTTTTTTTAATTGTGCTATCTTATGCCTAAAGGCCTACTATAAAGCATTACATCTATGCACCATCCTGAGAGATAGGTGCCCCATGCACTATGTTCAACCTCCAACTCCATGCTCCAAACAATCATTTGTTTTTGTGCCATCAGCAACGACAAAGGCGACATTGCACAATGTGAAAGCTAGTTCTCTGTTCAACATATTAGCATATGAGTTACAGATAAAACCACATAAAGTATGCTGATAGCAAAAGTGCCTCAGGTGAAAGATGAAAAGTCTACGTTGTCTTCCGCATTAGACACAAGTCTATCGGATTTAGCATGGAATGTTTTTTGCATCATCGACAAATGGATGATTATCCATTTCAATCAGAATAAGAGAAAATTTTGTAATTACCTGATTAGTATATGCCGAAACTTGAAGTGCAAATTGTGCTAGAAGTTCTATGAATCCCAAATATTAGTATTATATTCAAGGATCTGTATCAATTGATGTTGAAGAAGAGTTCAACCAAAGTACTATCAGGTAATCGAACCAGTTTATTCGTCATTGTTGATCTGTATTTGATAGTACATGTTTTGTTCATCACTGTACTTTGGTTGAACCCGTTGTTGAACAAGAAGATAGGATATAACGTACAGTTGATATGCCATCGCATGGTGGGGTCGTGAAAATGTTGATAGCAAAAACAAACCGAAGTTGGCGCATCCGTGAATTGATGGCACAAGTGTATAGAAGTCAATTTCCTAATCTGCAAAACAATTAGCATCAAGTATTCACAATACAAGGTCAAATGCAAGAAGAATTGTGCAATGATTATCAGAAAGTCCGTTTGGTTAAGACAGGTTAATCACCACGGGAGCATAAGCTCATTGGTAAGATAGGGGCGACACGATGTTCATCATAGAATGATTGCAGAGGGAGAATAAAAATTGAGGGAGCTTACCATTGAAGGAAGAGTCCTCCTACCACAGTTTGTGGTGGAGGACGATTGTGTCGCTGTGTATTCATGTTCTTTGTTGGAAAAAAAAAAATCAAATTTGAATTGAAAAAGAGCTTGAGCACAGGAAAAAATTAAGCGAAAATGTGGTTAGCGCCGGTATGTTCCATTAGTATCACATGAACAAAATCGAATGTAGGCACCCTGCAATCACTCTTGGCTTCAATCCAAGGTACATGAGAAATAAATTAAAGCCAGCCGAAGCAAGCTTGCAGAACCCTGTAACTGTCGAACTCGTCCTCAAGATATCTTGGTTAATTCGATACTCTCGTCCTATATCCTTATTGAATAAATATTTGTTTCACGTAGGGAAGCCCAAAAATGTTCAAAATCATAATAAAATATGCTAATTTAAAAGCTAACCATACAATAACAAAAATGTAAGGATTGCTCGTAGAAATCTTTGGCGTTATTTCGATCCATTTTCAAGATCAAATTTGTTGTGAACCGGCCTCTAAAGAAATAACAATGAAATCCTCTCCCTGAATGCCAGAACGCCCATTATTGTGAGAATATGCCAAGCTAAACACATGGCCTTGAATTTGATATGCCATCCATTACATGGTAAGTTCCTTTCATGTAGATGCCCAGATGAATGACGAAATGTTCCGACGCCTTTTCCATCCCCTCTTTTACTTGCTATGCATGAAATCCATCCTGTTTACCCAGACTGATGGTAATAGTACTCAAATCATGAGCTAATAAGTACCAGCTCTCGCAGGCCAGCCAGCTTGCGCCCTTGAAATCGCAAAAGTACGCCAAATGTGATAAATGATTGCAAAAATACAAGGGATCATAAAGAAAGTCCATTAAAAAAACACCATGCCAAATGCGTCCCTCCCCTTGCCAGCTTCTGCCGCAACTCCCACAATTGCAAAACGCGATGGGGAATCTTATGATCGTGAACACCCCGCTACAAAGATGTAAAATGCAACCTGATGCAGCACCGTTGGACTCCCCGTTGATGAACCCTAGTACGAGATAAAATCGAAGACATCACTCTACCATACATGATAGGTGCAAATAATTAATCGCAGCAAACAAAACTCCCACAAATGACCAACTACATCGTTACACTCGTAACTCTCAGCACATGCAGTGATTCCCATCGTCTATCGTCCCATCATATATGCAGGAGGAAACCCGCCATTAGAACCGTTCATCATTGGTGTTGGACCACCAGCAGCCATGGCTGACGTGAACCCTTGACCATTCCAATTGTTTGGCCCCCGAATGAAGTATTAGAAGCATATTGATTACCACCCATAACGCCAGAACTCATCGCACCAGCATAACCCATTCTCCCTGGTCCCAAACCGGGTGGTGCAGAAAGACCTGGAGGGGGTCCATTCGCAGCGCTGAAAGATCCCCCCAAGCCGCCCATCATAACGCCATTCATACCATGTATGCCGCCTGGTACATTTGCAGGACCTGGCGATACCATTCCTGGACCAGATCGAACACCAAGAGGATTCTTCGAAAAGCTCAGACGAATCCCACCCTTGATGCTGTTGTGCAAAGGATGGCCGTATAGTTCATGGAGAGCTTTCGTTGCAAAAGAAGTATCCTCGAATTCCACAAAACACATTGGGCCATTTTGCTTGGTTCTGAAACAAAGGCGCTTGTATCCACGCTGCTTCGAGAACAGGGCTTTGAGCTCATCTTCTGAAGTATCGATTGGAAGATTACCAACATACAAAGTATTGCATGGAGGATTTTGGTCAGCAGGATTGACAGGTGGGAAATTATGGCGGTGATAGTGTTGACTTCCAAGTTGGTAGTGTTGAGGCGGTTGTGATACCGGTGACATGGTGTTCGCATTTGCCATGGTTGGCATAGTCTGCTGGGACGCGTAAGACGACATAGAAGCTGGACCTCCAGCATTGTTCGTCGCCAGAGATAAGCTTGCCATACGGGCGGTGATGGGAATTTGAGGGTTAGTCGGGCGTCGAGTTTGAATAGATGCGGCTCCATTTTCAGCATAAGCCACTGGGTCTTTGAGAAGTTCGCCCGTCTCGTCATCTTCGCCTGAATCGTTATTAATCAATGACTTGCCTGTAATGCGGGGGCGGTCATTGAGGTGATTTCCAATAGGAGATTGCGGAGAGAACAAATTTTGATAGCGAGCACTCGACTCGGGATTTGGCAATTCATTGTTTACATAGTTTCCATTGTTATTTGTAGGTGAAACTCTTTGTGCAGATGTGAAGGAATTGTTGAATCTTGAAGATTGTCGCGGGGTCGGACCCGCTGAAGAAGCCGTGGAGGAAGTGGAGCTGGATGGTCCAACGTTTGTGTTCGCATCGACAGTATATCGACGAGCTGTAGTGGGACTTCCATAAAATATTTCCACCACCATATTCGCATCGTTTGCAATATTTGGTTTTCCATCAAGCATGTTCTTAGCCTCGAGCGCGCCCGCATGGGACTTGAAGTGGAGAATAGCAGCTCGGAATCCTGCATCATCAGATTTCTCTGGAGACAATACTTCAGCTTCAGTAAACTCTTTAGACCATACTACCATTGATCGTAGTGCATCTTCAGTGGTATTCAATGGTAAACGTCGGATTAAAACTGAACACGGTCCCGATGTAAATGATGCGCCACCATTCGATTGTGGAGTATTTTGCGACGAAGTGTCTAATGCGAAGGCATTCATTGTAGCCATTGATAAGGATTGATATGGTTGTTGGTTGTTATTGGATTGACGAAAGGCCTGGCCTTGTGGGACAAACACCTGGGCGTTCATGGCATTCTCTGGTGATAAAATCGTGTTAAGTTGTAGTTTTGTGATTAAAAGGTCGAGGTTTGTAATTGCTTGGAAACTCGAGGTGTCGCAAATAAAGAAGATGGGCCGGAAACGAAATCTGATTAATTATTGGATTTTTGTTTCAACTCTTTCTCTGCAGAATGATAAGTTTTGAACGTGTGGGAAGATCACAAAAGGCTTGGATACTTTTGCGACCGTAGTGCTGGTTGACGCGCTCGCTCGAAGGTTATGTGGTGTTCGGGTAAGAAAGTGGTAGGGGGCGGATGCGGGTGAGAAGGTTGATTATCGAAATAAGATTAGAGTGGAGTGGCAATCGTAATGATAAGGAAGCTTTCGTGTAAATGGGTTGGTTGGAATTCTTGGTTGTATGTATGCGTGTGTGTATGTGTATGTACGAATGTAAGTGAAGTGTGGGATGAAAGTCAAGTGTGGGTGAGGTGTGAGTGTGTGAGATGTGTGTAGTATTGCGGGTTGATGAGATTTGCGCAATAGATGATGGTAAGAGTAAGAAGTGTGGTAAGAAGGGCTTGTTGTGTGATCTCGTTGCTCTTTGTACAAATATCGTAATTGTATTGATTTAATTGTTGGAAATCTTTCTTTCTATTGGAATAATGAGATTCGTACGAGTTGACTTGTCAAATATGCGGTACCTGACGATGAATGATGACCGTGCGATGTACCGAGCGAGCGAGGAAGTTTAGGTAGGTAGGTTTCCACTATCCCAAGGAAACCTTTCTATCCTTTCGCGCGCGTGTATTAGAATGTAATTGAAATGATGTTTATATTCATTTGAGAAGATGTATCTTGCGATTTGAATTAGATGATCGTTTCCAATTGTGTACGATGTAATTGTAAAGGGTGGGATCAAAAGTACTGTATAAAGTATGTAAGAATGAGGAGATAATATTGCAATGGATTGATAAGAACGTTGGCTGCTGGTGGTAGCCTTTTTCGACCTTTACAATCAAAGAATGGATGGACACGAAGAATTGATAGGTAAGAATTATGTGTGACTCGATGAAATTAAAAGAAGTATGGAGGTTGGTGTTGGAAGTCTTGTTTGCAAATGGAATGAAGAAATGGCTGGAGGATTGGGATTGTCTCTTTTCTTTCTTTTCTCTCTTTTCTTTCTTAGGACTTTTGTTGGTAGTGAAGGTAAGGTAAGGTAAGGTAAGGTAAGGAAGGTGAGGTGAGGTAAGGTGAGGTGATGTATGGGAAAAAGAGGTTTGAGGTAGGTGGTCTATTCAATGATCGAAATTTGGGGGGAAGAGGGGAGTTTCTACGTGATTACTTTGGGGATTTTAGGAAGATTGTGTGGAGAAGAAAGAATCTCAGAATTTCAATTGGCTTATACTCGATAAGATACACTGAAGCTAATTTAGTTCGTGCAGCATGCAGATAGCGGGATTTCTTTGCACACACACACACACTCACACTCACACTCACACACACACACAGACACTGCAAGTCTGCAACTAGGGAGAGACAGATGTGAAAACAAATATGGAAGAGTATCGAGGTACGAAGAAGTGAGCACCCTCTCTTGGAAAAAATCACCATCGTATAAACAAACATAAATTCCGAGGTAAGCTGCTGTTCATCGCCAGGGGAAACAAACAAAAGTAAACTTAGCCTGGCAAAGTGATTACCTAGACAAGACAGAATAGCAATTTCACATTGGAAGTGCGGGATGGGATGGGATGAGAATTGGCGGGCGGATGGCGTATGTGTAGATGTAGATGCACTAGTTGTGGATTTGGATGCAAGTGAGGTGAAATGTATCAAACAATCCTGGGTTATAATCGATACCTAATAATGAATCTCTGGTAACGTCTCTCATAGGTTGTTCAATCTGGGTATGTTATATACAGAGTACACGAGCAAGTATCTAGGGTCTTGGAGAATTTTCAATGCCATTCAAACATTAATGAATGGAATAGTATATAGCTAACCTACCTAACGATCGGTCTATGAGTGTGAAGCATTCAAAGCTTTACAATAATTGCTTGTCTTCCATTCCTACCCGATCATACCTAACTATTTTTCTCGTCTCCTCCCTACGAAGTCTTCTTTCCGAGGACTAGGTGGTCATAAATAGAGGACCAAGTCTTCCATGTTCCATGCTCCTGATTGTCTGATGCTCATGCTCACTCGTTTGGAATATGGGGAAACTTGTTAGAGCTCTAGATTGTTGGTCAATGCAGAGATCGTCTTTTTTAATATGCAGACAGACAGGCAGGCAGACAGGCAGACAGACCGTCAATATCATCAAATCTCTACGTTGTATATCATCTACTCAGAGTTTCTGTTGACTGTCTTTCTGTATAGGTAGGAATTAAAATCAAATCAGATAATTCCGGTTACCGTTCAAGCACAGGAACAACTAGAAGCCGGTCAGATACCTGCTTCTACTGTAACCCTTTTTCTTCTTCCGCTCATCATCCAGTAATTTTACGAGCCTTTTCAAAAATCCTTGATATCCTTGGACCCTTGAAGCAGGGTAACACACATCTTCGAAATCTCCAATGATTGTCAATAATGATATCTCGAGGTTGTGAAACTAGTCAGTTCTCGGAAACTTGATAGAAAAAAAGTTGGTTTCTTCTCCGATTCGTCCCAATTCGGATAATAAAGAGACCCGTTGTTCATCTTTTCCTGTGTGATACCCCTCGACTATTATTTTTTCCATCGATGTTTCTATTGTTTTTAGTGTGGGAGTATTCCACCTTGAGCAGTCAGGATATTTCAATACTAGACAAGTACATCAGTTGAATCAAAATTTAATCCTATGCTGGACATTTGAGATATTGAAATACCCAGGCTGGTCTCGCTTTCAAATGAATATGGGATCTCGTTTGTTGAGAGCTATCCAAACCATTTGTCGCAATGATATGTTGGTCTCGTGTCTCACCAATGTTGCTGATCCAACCCTTCTTCGCAGGTGTAGGCAACGTGCATTTAATGATTTTCTGGGGATGAGCTCGACTTGAGCCAGGATGCCACGAGTGATAACAGAAGGGAGAAGTTGTTTGTTACCGTTACACCAAACGGATTCTCGATAAACGCTTTAGCATTGTTGACAGGTTGATTGGCTCAAAGACCAGGGGAACGCAATTCAAGAGTTAATGCTCTCAGGGTTTGTGAATGCATGGAGTCGCAACCCGTGGGAGTGTCTCAGAAGTGAAAAAGTTTATTCGCTCTTCGTTTGATTTGGAACCGAGTTTCTCAGGGCAGGAAGATTAAATTTTGATATGAAGTATGTTTTGATGTCATAAGACGAACTTTGCTTGCATCCCAAGCTCGAACAGGAACAGGAAAACAAAAGAGAAGGCAAGAAGAGAAAGAAGATGGCTTGTGAATGCAGACAGACAGAAAGATATCGATACCTAGTTGTGAGAATATCACATTCATCCATATCCATCCATATCCATCCATATCCATCCAACAATGAATCATCCATCTATCTCGCACGTCCCAATATGCGGACCGTTTCATTTTCATCTCTACCAAAAGTCTAACGGAGGCTACGGAACAATTATCTCAATTTTAATTGGGGCAACACACTGGTCATGGAAAAGATGCGAGGAATCAGGATCGTTGAAATGTGATTAGTGTGGGGGAAGATACAAATGATAATAAGGAGCGAGGGACCGAGGGAGCTTTGACTTCTTGGGACCTTTTGACGGCCGACTCAATTCAATTAAAAGCTCGAATGCTCGAAAAAAAGATGTTGGACCCATATCCCACCAAAAACCCTGCAGATGCAAGCTTCACCCATTTCTACTAAACCTTTTCAAGAGATCTCAAGGTTCAAGGATTGTCAGCCGGAAGATGCACCCATCCTTGCCATTCATTCAATTTCTTGGTTTTTTATATCCTTTTTGACTACGATGGTGGACGCTATGTAGCACAAGGCTTCAGAAAACACAGAGTACGAGGGGTAGTTACAAACAAATTGGCTAGGTCGACAAGACGATTATGAATGGCCATGAAGAATTCATGTTATCCCGCCATTCTGGAATCTATCGTTTTGGTCGCAAATTTGATCTGCTGATAAGCTAATTGACAGATTGATAGATAGATTGATCTGACGAATATTTTGAAACCGTTCACGTATATGGCCGTGTTGGTCTAGACTTTCGGAATATAAGCAAGCATCCAAACCGATCGTCGAGTATCACTGTAGCCAAGGTCCATCTTCTTACAGTGATCAAACGGTTGGATCACTTACTGTGTGGTCAACATTTGGGTACTCGGGCACGTACCTACATTCACCATCTCTTTTCCAGCATTCGTACTGGAGTGCATTGACGAGCTTACTCTTTTCTTAAATACGAAAGCTAAAGAAATCACCGTGGCGGTTGGCTCGAGTGGGATGGTGATATGAGGGGTATTCTCTGCATCAGCTTATCGTCATTGGTGTCAGGTGCGGCTGACGATAGTTTCCCTCCGGATGCTCATCCACTCTTCCCCTGAGTGAAGGCTTTCGAACTCATTCTTGGTCTTCAGAAACTCACTCCTGGGAATGGGATTTGGGATTGCGAGACATTGTGCGGCCGATATGATTGGCAGACTTCTTCCATCTTGTCCTCCCCTGCCTCGTTCGTATATTGAATCAATGTTCAAATATGCCTCGGAGAATAAGTGAGATCCAGAGTTCCAAGCACTACACGATCAATCATACCAGTGGCTTTTCAGACACTTTGCATTCGGAAGATGTTACCATCTGACAAAATTGAGACAAACCATTCAATCAGTAGGTACGGATATTCACATAGTCATGATTGCATCATTATTGTGAGATGAGAACCTGCATGTCTCCATTTCTCACAGACAGCTGTTGATTACTGCAATCCTAACTTCTTAAAACGCAAGTATTGAGGCAGTTTAGTGCTCACATCGATCGCGAAACTAGAACCTACAATGTTCATGTGGAAAATTGATATTCGGAACGCTCGAATAGCTTCAATTGTTTTATTTTCTCATCTTTCGCAAATATCTCATCCTTCTTATCATATCAGATAACGAGTAGATTGATAACATTTCCTTTCATAACCATCCTCCAAATGTTTCGCAAAAATCATCTCATATGGGTCCAAGGATTACATACATCCATCCCATCCATCCATTTTCATCGCGACTATTCTGTAATTGGCCCAAAATCCGCTTCGAAAACCATTCACAAAGACTCGTCGATCACAAAATTAGCCTAGTTACTCGCTTCGTTAGAGTGTACACCCACAACTCAAGTCAACCAACCAATCACAACAACATATTGAGTAATTCTTTGTCTCAAATTCTCATCATTATGTGTTGTGAATATATATTGCTAATTGCTCCCAATGTGCATCAAATCAAGCAAACAACTTGATTTCTCACCTAGCTTCTGTGGTCCAATGGTTAGGATTCCACCCTTCCAAGGTGGAGGTTCGTGTTCGATTCACGGCAGTTGCATCTATCTTTTTGTTTTCCATGTGTATTCTGGAGGGGAGTTTGAGTGTGTCGCCATGATTTTTGGAGATTTCACTTTTTGGAGGGGGGTCGATAGAATCGGATCGGTTTGTATTCGGGTAGTGAATCAATATTAACCAGAGACCTGCTTTAAAAGTCACCATTGCATTGCATTTCACTTCACTTCATTTTTCCTCTATTCAGACTTTACTCAGAGATGTTTTGCAGACCATTTCAACAGTAGTTTTTTTTTTTCACATCTACCTCCAATTTTTCAGGGTCACAAATTGAGATGGACACGATAGATACCAGTATCTTTCAGGAAAAGTCAAATCACTTGTTCCAGATCCTCGAAGTGGAGACCGAGGTTTCGCAAGTCGCAGTAGTTTGTGCATTGGCTCGTGAATCGTTGGGTGGTGAGTGGGGCTACACGATATCACATCTTCCAAATAAAATAATTAGAGTTTCGAATTCGTGATGCTGGATTCGATAGTTATTGGTGTAGATACTTTTCAATATTTATTGTTCGAAGAACAGTATGTTTTGGTGTTAGTGGAATTTTGTCGTACCGGTACAGCGCGAGTGCGAGTGCGAGTGTGTGTGTGGAAAAGTGCATTTTGATTCATGTAGCTGTGGGTGCCAGATATACATCATCTCAAGGCTTGCACTGCAGTTTGATGAATGTCGGTTTATCTGGTTTGATTTCTGGAGATCTTTCGGTGTGCTGGGGTGGCACCGTCGTGGTGTGTCATTCCGCGATATCTATTGTAGTCGATGGATGGATGATTAGGATGCGATTTGGCGGTTGGTTAATGTGACTTGATGGCTTTGAGATTTTTTTTAACCAAGGGATGAGATGGGACGCGAAGGGGTGGGAATGGATAATAGATAAATAGATAGATAGATAATTCCCATACTTATATCATCGCGCTTCCCTACCCTTATCCACATTCATTCGCATACGAAGTACATCCTTCATACTCAGAGCCTCGCATTCGGAGCCAAAGTTATAAACTCACATCTCACATCTACGACGAAGTGTTTCATTCATTCCTATAATAGAAATTTAGAAAACATTCACGGTCTTGTCTTGTGTTGATTCTTGATTTTTGATTCCTGAGAAGTTGAGTAGTGAGTTTCATAGAGTCCCAACTTCTTCGTTGGAATTAATAGAAATATCAATACTAATATCATAGTGGAAAGATCGCGCAACAGACATACATATTTTCTCCCTTCAGACGATCGTTTTTATATTCTATTCATTCACATCCAGGATGATATCTAATACACCCCTCCCCTCTCTTCAACCCGATATCCCAAAGCCGGGCAAAGAATCTCTTTCTTGCTTGACTCCTATTCTCCGTCTAGAACTCCTGGTGTCGGATATATATACATACACATGTACATGTATATATATACCCCTCCAGACCATTCTCAAGCACGCAAGCCTCAAACTCCAAAAATGCAGAATCGCAAAACAATCACCAAAGATCTTCCTTCTCATTATCTCAACATCTCATCTTTATCTCAAGAATCTATACATCAAAAAAGACTTTTCTCTTTCTTCTCTCCTCTCCACAATGCTCATTCCCAGACACGCCAATCATCAAATTACCACACCCACCCATTGACGCCCATCCCGGAAAGACAATCATAATATCACACACCTCCCCAACCGTCTCATCCGATGATGTCTTTTCTCCACCGGCGAATTGACTTCGTCGTCGAATTCCGGCGTCGATCGATTGTTATCCCGACGGATGATTTGCCTGCAGAGATCGATGAAGACTTCATCTACATTTGCTGTTTTTCATTTCCATTAGCATGGCTTTTCTCGCTAACTTCTATCTATCATCTTTTTCTCGTATTCCCATTCCCACTTTTCGTCACCCTTCATCCTTCACTCTCGAAATCAAATTCATCCCAACAAGGAAAAAGAGAAGAAGAAGTAGAAAAAAAACTCACCCCTCCTCCTAGCACTCGTCTCATAATACGGCGCATTTCCCCAACTCTGACTAACATTAAAAGCCGCCTGTCTACTAACCATCCGATCTTGTTCCAGATCACTTTTATTCCCGACAATTACTATCGGCACATTTTCGTCATCTTTTATGCGTATGATGGTTTCGCGGAGTTCGCTGAGTTCGTTGAGGGAGCTTTGCGATGTGATACTGAAGACGAGGAGGAATCCTTGTCCGGTTTTCATGTAGAGTTCTCTGGAGAGAATGTGTAAGTGGGGGATTTGGGAAAGGATGAGTGGAAGGGAGAAATGAAATTGGGATTGCTTGGTATGTACCTCATGGCGGCTGGAAGGGTGTTAGTTCATGTGTATGTATCATGTGATGAGGAAGATGAGGAGAAGAACTTACTGAATTGTTCCGTACCCGCGGTATCTAATCTAGATTTCTCCATGTCAGTATCATCTTCTTGACCCCATGAGAGGACAAGATAAACTCACATCTCCAACATGCATTGCCGTCCCTATCAAATCAAAAGGTCGCGTTAGCATCATGATCATGTGTCTCCACCTCCATGCCAAGACGGAGAAGAAATCTCAAAATACTCACATCAACCTCGATAACCTTGCGGTACGAATCCTCAATCGTTGGATCATAACTTTCGATCCAAATATTCTGAACAAATTGTGCTAAAGGGACACAAATCACATATCAGTATCTTCACTGCGTATTTTGACAATCCCTTCCTGATAATTCCTGAATCTCCACCTCTCGTTTCTTTCACGTGCCTCCCCACTTTGACCTTCCAAAATTTCAACCCCCCCCAAACCCAGCTCAAGTCCCCGGAGGAGAGTGGGTCAAGGTCTCGGCAAATGAGTAAAAATGATCCTTACCGGTTAGACAACTCTTGCCAACACCACCTTTGCAGACGAACAAAAATAATTAGCCATCAACATTCTATCTTCAATTGATACGTCTCTCTCTCTCTCTCTACATAATCGATCATTCTCTTGAAGTGAACAATTAAATACAGAGGGAGGGAAATCGAGGGAAAGGAAAACTCACCAGCACCCAAAACCACAATGTGATAAGTTCTCCTAAAAATCACCAATCACCATATCAGCCAGCTATCTTTTCCGAACCCCCCTCCCCAATATAAAAACTTTACCCCTGATTCATACCTCCGTGCGTTCCATGCACCAACCACCGACCCCAAACCTCAAAAAAAAAAGATAGAAAGCAAGAAAGAATGAATGAATGAAAGGAAGGAAGAAAGAAAGAAAGGAAGAAAAAACTTACTGTGAATTCCTCGTCGCCATCTTGAATTAAAATCCGATGATTATCTATTCTCCTCCGATCCCTCTTGATATATGTCTATACAGATAGTGATAGATAGATAGATAGCTATCACACGTATCCACGCCTGTACGAAATATTCCCAAGATATCAAAAAATTCACACGAGACGTCCGATCCAATATCTAGTGATTTTCACTTCTCCCCTCTTAATAAATAAAAACAATATCGCATACAAGAAAAAAAAATTCCTTTTCCACCACTTTTGACCTCGAAATAAAGCAAAAAGGTGTCAAGAGATCTAGTAACGTCAAGCACCTCCCAAAAACACAATCAGAAAAAAATATTTAAATATATATATAGATAAATAAATCGAGTCGTAACGTAACGTTTCTCCAAGTCTAGTACAGAACACCAAAACGGGTTGGAATAATGGTAAAATAAAAATAATAATAATAATAGGGAGAATAATCAAGAAAGGGTCAATGAGCTCAACAGCACTTGTTGGTGGCTTAAAGTAATATATATGCAAGTTGGACGTTGAACGTTGATGTGAGGGAGAGGATCGTTTGGTTTCGTTTCGTTTCGTTTGACGCGTTGCGTGGGCGAGGGCTCTGCTTTTTGAATTCCCCCTCAAAAATTTGGATGGGCCAATAAGTTTCCGCGGTTAATCTTTCAAGGTTGTCTCCGTTCCGTAGGTAGGGAAGTGTTTGATTGAGTAGTGAGTGGTAGTGAGTGGTGTGATGGAAATCCTCGTCTTTTCTATAAAAAATCCCTCGGGCTCGGAGCGTTTTATTTGTATGGATATACGGAAGGTTGGGATGGATGGATGTATAATATGCAGGTAGGATATACCTAGGTAGGTATGTAAAAGAATCTTGTAGCTAACGTATTCTTTTTTCGTAAGACCAAAAGAGCGAAAGATCAAAATTAACAGCCAAGCGAAGTGGAAAGGGAAGAATGGTGAAGTTATATATACATATATGTATTGTGTATATTTGATAGGTGATAATGATATATCAAGAGGATCGAGTCGAATCGTTTACGAGGCACCCAAATCCGTACCGTTTCGTCTGGCTGACTCTTGGGTTGCCCGGTGGTTTATGTGTTATGTGATATTTTGGGGGGTGGTGCAGTTGATTGCAGTAGCTGGTAATTTATCCGGATCATCTATTTTTCCTCCCGGGCGGGTGTATACCGGTGCGTCTGGCCTGGCAAACGTAGATAGATAGATAGGTAGGTCGGGAGACAGGTAGGTTTGAATTTATGTATGGATAAGGTTCTCTTATATTTCGGGTGTTGAGTAGAAAGTTTGTGAAGTCGGATAGATATATAGATATATAGATATAGGAGACAGATGATGGGTTTGATGTTGTGTCTATGAATAAATAGGAGAGCGAGCACCAAAAAGGAGTAAGGGGAGATAGAAAAGGAAGAGAGGAGTGAAGAAAATAGCAAATATAACAATAAATATAGTCAGTCGATACTCGAGTATATTAATTCAAATAAATAAAGATTTTATTTGATGAAAATAGGTAGTCGACGCCACCTACCCATTTCCTCAACGCCAACCCATTGAATTAGAAAGCACACTAGGAAAAACGATATCCTCAAAAGAAATTAAACACAAAAATTAAACATCTTTCCATGATGCGACCCTTATTTCGTTTGTCCTCTCTTGACTCAAACCTTAGCCAACTTTAACTTTCTACGATTAATCATCCACGAGTCCTCTCGTGCCAATCGATACCGACCGACGTCTCGATTCATTCATCCATCCATCCATCCATTCATTCATACCGCGATTGTATTACCCGAGATACATACGAGTACCAGGTAGGTACTTATCAACCATTTTATCGTCGCATCTGCAGATGCACTTTTCAGGTACGGGGGCCCCGGGAACGTGTGTAATGGACCCTGAATTTTTTTTAACCCTGGTGGGAACCTCTTTTTTCCTGGGTAACATGCACAGCCCTAACGATGGATCACATCATGGCGAGGAAACCTGGACGCCACGTTGTGTCTCTGTTCTATTCTATTCTTCAATTTTTATTTTTGGAGGAACGCTGCAGTGGAGGTCGAATAGTATAAGGAAGCGAAGATGGAGGTGGATGGGAATAGAACAATCCCATTCCCGTGATATGATGGAACATGGATGGAATCTACAATCGAAACTCCTTACGGATTAGATTTGAAGGGGAATATTCATCTGGCCTTCTAATCCCATACCAGAATCTTTCTTTTGTCAACGGAAAGGAGCACTAGGCAGATTTCCCTCCCACCTTCTGGTACAATTTTCCATCCATACAATGTTCATTTCCTATCTACTGTCCTCTACACTATACCACACCACCACACCACCCATCTAGCAATCCCTCGTCTGTTTCGTCATACACATGCACCTTCGCCTCATTTCATCGGATATCCAGCCCTCTTCAGCTCAACATCACCTCAACTCTTCCCAAAAAGTTGTGTAAGGATAGCAGCCTTGAAATTCGGCCCTTGGGGTATAGTTACTCGGGTTCCGGTAGCATCCCCCATCCCAGACGAACCACCACTTTCGGACATATCAAATGCAATGTACAAGTCGTGTCACATCTTCGTCTTAGCTCCCATATCGTTTCATTAATTCTTTCATCTTTGAGCTGTGTATGGATTTTTCCCTCGCTCGCTCGAATCGCGCGGGTTTCAATTAGGTTCCTTTGGGTTTTTTGCCGAGAAGTTGGTGATATGCTTGCGCTGGACAGGGTATCTTTCGGTGCCAAATGATCGTCCTGCTCGGAAAATCGGATGTATATCACAGCTACAGTTGTGAGTCAGTCTCATTGTCCTGGAAGTATCTCCTCGGAGGACTTCATTTTGAATGCAACTGATTTCTGCATCTGGAAAAACTTTCCAGAAATGGGTTTTGTCAACTATACGTCATGTTAGAATTTTGTATGTTCTAATGCGTTATCAAAAATTAGGGTTAGGGTTCCCGATAATGGGTTCTTCAGGATGTTACTGCATGCAACTTTAGCCTAATCATCTCATCTCATCTCATCTCATCTCATTCTCCAATCTGCCAGCCAAACATTCATCCTCAATTCAACATCTAAGCAACGAGGCAACCTCACTAGCGCGAGTCTCAGAGACCCTCGTGTTAATAACATTTGATACCTACCCAAGTACTCTCTCTCTCATACCCCAACATTCTACAACAAATACATCTTAGTATCCCAGCCAAGAAACAACCATAAACTTCCATGCATATGATAAGATGCAAATGTTGCAATGCCATGTGCAAACCATGTTCGCATTGCGCACAAGGTAGCATCTGCTCGAAATAGATAGGATGGAAATGAGACAGTCGACGGTACGTTACAGTACGGAATTTTCCTTCGTAACTTATCTGTCGTTTTTATTTTCTCCTCATGCCTACCTACTTTACCTTGTGTATGTATGTAGATACGTATTGCAGCGTGGTACAATGAAATAACCTGGGGTTTGCGGGTAGTTTTTATATTCGGAGGTTGAGTTGTGATATCGATAGTGTGTATTTGTATGTCGTATAGGTACTGTAACTACCTTGCTGAATGATAAAATATTAAGTCGAACGGTCAGTTTTTTATGCGCAAGTACAGTAGTTGGTTTATGGTATTAGGCGATAAGGGGGTTCACGAGCTGACAATTCTTTGAGCAAATATATCGATTCCATCAATGTACAGAACAAATCTTAAATTGAACCGAGCATATGCACGTGTTGTGTCACCTTATCGCCTCCGTAGGTTTCTCTCTATATTGATTCGATCCATATCTTCATTTCCGTCTCATTATACGATGATAACATGAAGAATATCCTGCGTCAAACGTTCATACATTTTCATTCCGAAGCGGCTTATCTATCCCAACCCCAATGATCATAACCGATCCTATAAATCCAATGATTACAAAATATTAAGTATCATGCATGCATATGCATAAGCATCTAACCCCTCATTTACACCCCCTCTCTCCCCTCATTTATACCCCAAAACTAATAAGGTTCCCACTCCAACCTCCTCTCCAACAGAAAAGATTCCACCGGTACTCCCCTCCACTTCTTCTCCCCCTCCTTCGTCACATTAAAAAACTCCACCTCAAATCCCATCACCTCTTTCCAACCCCTAATCAAGCGTCTCCAATAACACGTCTCCGCCGCCGGCGTAAGATACCTCTCTCTAAAAACCCTCACGCTCCTCTCCGCAATCTCTTCTATTTCTTTCTGATCCTTCCCCTCAATCAACTCCACCATCTTCTTTTCCAACCCCTCAAACTCCCTATCCACCTCAATATAATTCTGTTCCGGCCCATCCTTCTTCATCAGCGGATGGAAAAATTCCATCCACTCCAATTCATGCGCCACGATCACCGATCTACAATTCCGCAGATACTTCAGACGCGCAGAATAGGAGTTTCCTTCCGTATGCGCAAGAAACTTGTATTGACAATGTTCATCCATACTCTTCAAATCATTCTTCATACTCCCCTCATTATGCCAATCCAGCGTCTTCACATCCGCCCACGCCTTTCCCTCCGTCACATTGACAAATTTCTTGCGAACCTCCAAATTCATCGTCGCGCCTCGCCATAATAATTTGTCGATTTTCCGACTCCATGGCCACTCGCTCTCCGTCAGGATGGCTTTCATTTGCATTTCTCCGTAGCTACCGATTTTCGTCTCGGGCCACGACCAGAACCCGTATTCGGGCATGAGCCATGTTTCTTCATTTGTGGCTTGTCGTGCGTAGAGCCATTGGGGATGTCCTTCCACCTTGTCGTCTACGTTCATGGTGAATTCGATGTTGGGGAGGGGTTCGGGGGAGGTGAGCATGGCGCGGTGGAGAGCGTGCAGGGTGGCGATGCCGCGGGAGTAGATTTTGCCGTAGGTGTCGATTACAT